CCCCAAAACCCCAAAACCCCAAAACCCCATAAAGCGAAAATAGAATAAAATTTGTTATTAAAGCATATAATTAAGAAATATAGAACAATCTGATGTAGTTTCAAAATACAATAAAATTAGTTAAATCAAAGCATGATTTGTGTTTGTTGCTGCTCATTATAAGTTGAATATATATTTGTTTCTTTTGAGCCGATTGATTGATAGTTATTTGTTGGTTTCTTACTATTTTATATTTACTTTTTGTTATTTTAAAGTTAAGATCTCATTTCACCTTGGTTTACGAGAGTGTTGTTTATTCTTATAGATTGGTGTGTTTATTGCATTAAGTTTGGTTGCTTAGAATTATTATGAATGCTTTTATTTTCTGATTAATAGGTTAGAATTTATGAATTATCTATTAACATGTTTCTACTTTCACGTTAATTCTTTATTTTACTATTTGCTTGTGAAATACTTTATATGCATGAATTTTGAGCTTTTGTATTTGAATTGAGAGTATCTTGAGTTCTTCTTCGCTAGTTCAATCTGTCAGTAGACTCCTAAGAATCAATCTTTTTATTACTTTTCTAGCTTTTAAGGCCTTTAGCAAAGGTGCTTTGAGTGTTGTTTCCGCTCTTTTCATACCTTAAATTGAGTAATTACTCTGTTTATAAGAAGTCTTAGATGTCAGTGCCGTCTGTTTCTTAGTACTGCTCACCAATATCATTACTTCCCTTAAAGGACATCTTATTGTTTGCCACCTATATGAAAGATTCAGAGCAGTGACTATCTCTGTCTGAGCTTTGATATCTAGTGTTTTACTTTTTTTAGTTCAAATCTTAAAGACTGTTTTTCTTTCCAAACAGACTCTCTGCATTCTAAGTTTGCATCTTTTGTTCCTCCATCATTTGAATCTTGTTTCTGAGACTTAGACTGAACTTATTTTGAATCTTCTTAGCTTCAGCATTCTTGCATGACTAGCTCCCGCTTATAATGGTAATTGCATTGCTATTCTATTTGATTGATGATTTCTAATTTTGGACTTCATTTCTATGTTATTTGTGCTGTTTTTGAACTTTACTGTTCAAAGGGGTAGTGCTCTATGTCTCATCACCATCTATTTCTTGTGGTCTTACAATCACAGAATCATGCTTATTATGCTTTTTGTCCTTTTCACATGATCTCAAGTGAATATTGTGACTCAGTCCTATTAAATCCACATCTGAAGCTGTCTTTCCCATGATTATTGAGCCAGTTGGAAAGTCATTCACATCTATTCTCAAACTTGCTTTCATGGGCGTTGGCAGACCTCTTTCGTTGAGTGTTTTCTCATTTGACCTTGTCACATCATACTTTACAGATTGCTAGTCCTCTTAAGTGTCATAGAACATGGCAGTGATCTGATTTTGATGCTTTACAGTGGTACTATTGCCACAGCAAAATATATATTCGAGTTGTTTAAACATAAATGAAAAATATTTATAATGATTGATAGTATGATTAATTCTTAAAAACCCTAATATTGAGATACAATCTGATACTTAACTAATATTTACTGATTTTTTAATCGCTTTTGGCTTGATGGGGTTTTGGGGTTTTGGGGGGATCGGAAGAGCGTCGTGTA